ATTACTTTTACTAAGCTTACCTTAAATAACTTAACTTATTCTGAATTTTAAGTGAAAATCTCTTCCTTTCAATATCTCATTTTTTTTTATCACAAGAACACTTCATTTTTTGGCATATGTTCGTGTATTAATTATGAGAATGTCTAAGTGTCTTTGTCAATTTCAGATGTGCATTTAAATTCGGTATCAATGCTCAAGATTGAAGTGCATTTGAATCAATCAATCAAACAGCATTAGACCAGAACATCTGAATTGTAATGAACTGAAGTAATTATTATTGAATAACTTGCCGAACAATAGTGTAATATTTATTTAATGTCAACCTGTGAAGGAGAAGTATTCTTTGATTGCTATTTAGTTTTTTTTTTTTTGCAATTTGAAAAGATTCATTGTAGGGAAGAGTTGTACAATTCTCAATCATAAAATTTGAAACGTTATGTGGTCTCCCAACTGCAAACCTGTGTAAGATTGGCTATGGTATAAGCAAAAACAACATCATGTGATACAGCGCCAACGAAATCACCTGACACACACTGTATAAACCATTTTGCGCATGGATGAGATGACGTACGGAATAAGGCAGCCTAAAATAGAGGACGCAGAACATTCTTTTATAAAATTGGTTACTTTAATTTAATTAAAGAAAATTAAAAGAACAAATATTTTAATCAAATTTTGTTTGCGTTAGGAAATTGAGAAAAGTAATTTCACCTTTTTCAAAAAATGTTATAGTGTTGTTTTAATTGAGCAAAATAAAATCGAATAGCTATAGTATAAGCAAAAACAATGTCATTTTAAAGGTTCAGCTAATTCAGTTTAGATTACTTGTAAGTAAGACCATACCGCTGGAATACTTATCACGAAACTGATAATCCAGGCGACAGCAATCATCCTTTGTATCGATTTTTTAGCATTTAATGTATACAGCGGTGAAAATATTGAATAAAATCGATCAAGACTTATACATATCAACATATTAGCCGCTAAACTGTTGCCAAAGTTATCAAAAAATTTGCATATTCTGCATAACTGCAACGTTGTAATTGCTGCTTTATATTTTGCGAAGTATAAAGATGGTATTCATTACTTACTTTTTATCATTTCATTTGGTAAAGTTTTTAAGGTAACTTTTAACGCTTAATTTGATCCAAGGCTAAATAAATAATATTCGTTTGTCATTCTCTGAGAGTGGTAAATTATGCAGTACTATTTATTCCTCTGTACAACAAAAAGCGCTTGCTGATTTTGGTGGCGTTATTAGCAAGAGCGGTATTCACGGCAACACAAGTACGTCATTTTCAGTTCTTATCAGATTTTGAAACTTTAAAACCAAAAAACTAACGAAATCACTGCCCCACCATGCAACTGTTATGCTATGTATTACTTCTTTCGGCATATAAATTAATGTAACAATAAGATGTGCAATATTCATATGTAATAATAACGTATGTACTCGGCGAACTTTGACACGCTGATTCCTAAAAAGTATTTATATTAAAATGGTTGTTCGAAGACGGTGACAATTAATTTAACCTGCAACGTGGGACACACTGACGTACCTGATCAAAATAAGGAACATTGTGCCATTACCGATGAATGCGATGCAGAAACAAATGGAATAACAAATGAATGTAAAATAATGCATGGAGGTTAATATTGCCCGCGGATGCGACCGAGGATCTGAGCAGTTCAGTGTCATCTCTTCCAAGTTGTTCGTCGTTTATTTACCTAGATATATGATTTGAATTTCTGAAGTAACGAGAGAAAAAATGATGTAGAAGTAATTTTGTCAATTCGAAATAATCTTGACAAGTCATGTTATGTGTCGCTCTAATTCATAGCTCAATTAGTAAGAATTATGGCAGAAAATCACAAAAAATTCTTGTTGAAATCCAGAAAGTAATGAGAGGAAAATGACGTAGAAGTAATTTTGTATTACTTTTTTGCAGATAAAATTTTATTTAAAATAAATGTTGACAGGAATTCACAACAAATGGGGAGAAGAATGAGATGAGAGAGCGATTCCATTTGTTATGTTTATTGCACCATTTTCCCAATTCACATTCATTTATCATTTCATTTCATGCTTCATTTTGGAGGTGCATTTTTTAACTGATTCTTCTTAGGAAGATAGGAATTTATTAGCATATTGCATTTGGGAGCAAAACAAAACTGTGTACTCTCAGAATATCATTTTATTACTTTCAACCATTTCACCGTCATTTGTTGATTATCGATTTTTTCTTTTCGTTTGTTTCACAATCAAAGATATGATCTGCTTTTATGAAGCACAAATAGTAATTTCTGGTAAAACTTTATCGCATATGCAAATGACAAAAATAAGATAAGCCAGAGTTTCGGAATCAATCCGGAATTTCAAATGAAAACGAGACGATTTGTCTTGTCGTATTTTAAGAGTTTTCTTATGTTTATGTATTTTTTGCTGTCAATGTCACTGTATTCTTTTCATATGTTTTCATTTCAGCGAGTACTTTTGTTAAACTGAACATGGAAAAATGCCGAGTCCTTTCTACCTGTCGTATTACTATTATCTTCCATTCATAACAATTCCTTCATATCATCTTCTGTGGCAGATAGTTAATTAACTTCATTCCATTTGCATAAAATTATCTAAAAATGTTTTCGAAATGGAAAGCATAATCATACAAATTGAGGTCTATTAAATGAGCTTAAATATAAAAGGCATAAAAATTGTAGATATCATTATCGATTTTTTTTAAGGAAAAGCTTAGAAAATATTTGGCAGTTTTTTTTTTTCTTAAAAAATTTTCTTTTCACTGGTAAATCGTCAAACAGATCGATGAATGAACTGATTGATGATCACGTCATCTGAATTTCTTGCTTCTTATGTTTAATGAAAGTCGTAAATCCTGTGCAACCAGACAGAAAAAGCAATTTCGCTGCCATATAAATTTTTGGTTTTCTTCTTCTATTTAAACATATTTGCGAAAGATTTTAATGAAAATTTAAAATACCTTATAGAATCTCAAGGATATGCGTATTTCTACTTAGACAATGACATGCGAAAGCTCAGCTAATTGTAAGGTGCTTTTATTTATAGAAACAAATAAATTAAATTAAGTTAAAAGTAATATACTAGCAGGTTAAACTGGTCGAATGCTTCTTTAAAAATATCAACTTTAAGCAAGCGATATGAACTAAAAAAGATTAAAATGTTGAAGTTAATATTATCATCTATTAATGCACACTTTGTGCCATTTGAAAAAGGAAATAAATCGAAGCCAATAATGAAGAAAGGATTCATTTGTGCAACACACATTTCCCTGGCAGTCTTTCTAATTAGCATATATTAATCATTCCTGACTTCAAAAAATAAAATTGAAAATCTAAGAATAAGTTGTAAGACTTTTTTGACCTTTACATGATTCATTACCATTGCATGAATTTGAAAATAGATAATCAACAATTTGATTTCTTATCACGCAATGGAACAGCATGGACCAAAGCTTATTGATATTATTGTGAGGCCATCTAAGGTTAGATTTTATGAAATTATCAAAGTAAGGCTAAGATGAAGTTTGCTTTTCATTACCACTGTGTAAATTAAATCTAACAAATTTTAAATATGTAAATGAATAGGAGAATAAATGAATAAATGTGCAAAATATAGAACTAATATAAAGTCATCCATCCATATCAAGTAATAGAAGTGAAATTAGCCCGGAAAAGGTTCTGTTTGAATTTTTAATACTTAATGATTCATATGCATTTCTGGGATATGGATGACTTTAATATTTTATGAAAGTTTAATGATTAGAATTATTGATAAATACTTCATGAACCGTCGAAATACCGACAATGTCAGGAGCTAAAAGTTTGAACTGAAGGAACTTTTTTGATTTTTTATTTAGAAGCTTATGAGCAAAATCATCATGCATTGCTTCAACAAAATTTTTGTTTACAGAACTTCGATACAAATCTTTTTTTATCTTTGTTTCAGACGAACACAATAATCATAAATTACAGATTCAAAAATTATTTGTAAATATGATTTTAATAGAAGAAAAATAGCAATAGTTGGATGTGATAAAAATGATAACATTTTTTGTCCTTAATCTTCTACTTATTACATCTAAATGACAAAACAAAAAAAAAAAAAAAAAAAGAAAGAATGAAGAAAACACTGGCCAGCAAAACAAGATTTAACCTTTTTAAGCCTACGAAAGTCTTCTAAAAATCATTTCAGAAGACATTATCTTCATGTAATTTAGCATTTAAAGCATTTTCAATTCATAACAGATTCCTATTAGTAGCCCGGAAAGATTTTAAGCTTCTTTGAAGCTTATAAAACACAAAAGGCTCATGCAAAAACTCGGTTCTCATTACTACCTAAATTAATTATGGGAGTAAAAGCGTAGCGGTAATGATTACTTGAAATGGACTGGATGCATTGTTAAGTCATTTCATTTCTTTTTTGCTAATTAAAATGCAGAAGTAGGAGAGTTACAGAAAAGAAGAAATATAAGAGTGGAAGAAAATTAAGTTCTGACCAGTTCATCTGTGCTATAGTCTGATGATACTTGGATTAAATAAAGAAATTTATTTTGTTTATTTGAAAAACTGAATTGTGAAATGAAAGGTTTGTTAATTGAAATAACCAAGCTTGTACTGAATGAGAAATGTATGATAGTGAATTAATTTATTGCCGTGCTAGCGTTCCGTAAAATGCAAATTTCATTCAATGCAAATTTATCATTATTCATCGAAAACAGTATATTTCTGCTTCTAATGTTTTTCTGTCATATTAAATTCCCTTTTTTCACATTCAGAAATTAAAAGAAATGATTATAAATCAATTATTTATTTGCAACTTAAATTGTAGAAAATTACTTTGTATTTGTCAATTTATATGCATAGTATTGGTGGCTTCATAGTTTTAGAATAGTACAAAGAATTGAAATGAACTGAATTGTAATGGCACTATGAAATTAAGAAGTGGTATTTTGTTTCATGTTGCAATGTTTATAAATCAGCTCATAAAATTAAATGAAAAAACTTACGGAAGATTGTCAAGGTTAATTTTGATTAAAAATTATTTATTTACCTAAAATGAATACTTAATGAGCTTTTAAGTCATTCAAATGGAAACTGCAAGAGTATCTTCCATACAAAACATACAATTATTGAGACAATCAGATCTATGCTAATGTCCATCGAGGTAATCAACAAATTCAGCTAAAAATTATATGAATTTGTCGGTTACAATCAAAAATATTTCAAATGCATCCATAATTTCATTGTCATTTTGCTTCCTTTTTCTCCTCTGAATATAAATCAGTTTGCTGAGAGTTTATCTGATTCTTTTATTTTATGAAAACAGATCATTGTTTTATATACATGAACTACACTAAAGCATTTTTTTAATATTTCAATCAATATATCTTATATGAATTAAAAAAAGAGACATACTTAGGTAAACAATAACTATTCAAAAGGCTTCAATTATCGAATGCAGCACGAATTTTCATGAAAAAAAGACGTAGCAAAAAAAAATAATGTGCGAAAAGATATTAGAATGATAATATATATTTATTTGTCATAATGGCATTCCATTTTACTTTCTATATTTTCCAAAATGACATCATAATTGATTTGGCTTTGTTTCGATTAAATATGATCGTGAAACATTAAAATTTCTATTTTTATCAAAATATTATCAAAAGACGACACTACCATTTTTAGGTAAAAGTTATTTTGCATTTTTTGAAAAGCACTAAATCATAGTAGGTTGTGCTATTTACTTGGGCGCAGTTAGTTATCCAACTAAAATATGAATCGTTAGTTGCTCAGAGCTCAACATTCTTTCAAGTAGCTTTTAATCAGAAGTGCGTTTCAAAAACATTTTCGTCATTTTCAAATTTTATTTTATATGAAAAAGACTTAATATCAAGCGTAAAAAAGTCATAAAATTCTGTGAAGAACTCGATGTTTTTAACCAAAATGGCAAATTTTTAAGTTTATTTTCAAATTGTGATTTAGAGAATTGTAGGAGGGAAAAACAACTTCAAAAAATTTATATCCGATGTTCTTTAACTAACACATAAATAGCTAGAACTATTACTATAGTTTATGGCTTTTGATTATTGGTAAAAGTAAACTTTGATTTTGCCGTCTATTTAAGCGTACGTCGTTTTTATAACGTAAGTTATCCTTAAAATTCAGAAAAAATTTTCGAAACGGACATGGAACAAGAACAGGAAGTAATGATTTTATCGATGGCATAAAAGTCGACGACAAATCGACAGAACAATCATTTTTAGGTAATAAAATTAGTTAATTTATCTTTAAATAAATTCCAATTGGGGTGATATTTCCAATAAAATTTAGGTTGCTCAATCATTTTTCGGTTTTCTTTTCATTTAAGTATAATATACAATCATAAAGCATTATTTTACCCGTAAGCTTCTTTTTTCGAGGGCGGAATTGTCATGTCTTCCACAATGCTTGAACAAATGAGCCTAAATGAAAAGCGCTAATAATGAAATAAGGTAAGGTTAGCAAACAGGTGGGGCGATGAGATATTTGTGTGTAGAAGGATCCTTAAACAAATAAGCAATGCTACAGATAGATGATCGAATGCAACATAAACAAGGAAATAGCTGGCTGGATTGAACAAACAAATAATTTTTAGACAAATTCTATTTCGGAACAGCGAAAAATGCCGTTGGAAAGAGTGACCAGCAATTGCAAATGGCTTTGAATGCAAATGATAGAAAAAGTGGTTCACTTTAACATCAAATTTTTAGCGTACGCTGAAAATTCGCTTAATTCTTCAGGAAAAAACTGATAACAAAATTCAACAATCATGCAATGTCGATGAACACTTCGATATACTAATAAGTCTTTTATAGTTTAATGATATGTCTTATTAAACGAAGCTTTTACGGTTTACCTGCTGGATCGATTTAATTCTTGACAAGCTATCTTTTGTATTTACTTTACCGTTCGTTTTTATGGTCAGCGCACATGTCTTCAGAATATAATGTCCATATCGTAATTTTTTTTAGTGCAATTATCAATTGAAGAGCTAAATTTTAGGAAGTAAAAAATATGAAATCGTTATTCTAGGATGAGTCAACACAGTATATGTATCCATCCGTCTCAAAAAATAACGATAACAATTCTACTCATTGAGTTGACGAGAGATACGTTTTATTTCTGCGCGGCACTTTTTCAACAGCCTTTTTTATTTGCTTTGCAAACATGTAGTCACATGTTGAATATAACTGCATTTACGTAAGACGTACGCATCAATTCCTAAGCTACCCGAAATATGAATCGCATTTTAAATCATTTTATTAATTTTGGAAAAGATCGCAGAACATCTTCCTACTTTCTTGAATAACAGTTCATTTCCCTTTTTATGATAATGTTGGCATATGTTCGAGAGTTCCGCAACAGATGTTACAGGTGTTACATGTATTTCTAGGAAGTAAATGATATACCAGCATGTATGTTATTATATAATGTATACAGAGTGATTATTAGAAGTAATTTAGAGTAAAGTTAATTAAACAAGGCATGTTAACTTGCTAATGCTGCACGTCAGTTTCAGTTGATAGAATGAAAATAGATTAGTTCGGGAATGTATCAAATGTATCAGTTTGTTTTTCTTCATTTTGCTGCTGACATTGTCTCTTTTTCAAAATTTAATTTATCTTAATTGTATTTAATCGAAGTTAATTAAGTTGTGAATCAGCTCTGAGTTTCACTTCTGTTCTCTTGCAGATGCTTCCACTTTTGTATTGATCTCTGTACTATCTTTTTTTTTTTATTATTTATGTTGTTGTAGCATTCCCAGTTCTTTTCATTCCCACTCAAATGGTCTTATCGTGACACTGGAAGACCGAGAAGAGCGCACAACGAAGTCATGCAAACTGCGCAGACTTTCATACTGTGACAGTGCTCAGCACGACATCCAGTAATGAGGTTCTTGGGAGGGCAAATTTTGAGGAGTGAATGTAGGCGAAAACACTGATAAAGTTGTTATTGTTGGTCAGTGTTGTCCGACAGGTCAATTCAATTATGCCAATAGTAATAGTATGCCATTAGGAATGAATCTACGGTATTCAATTCAGTAAGAATGAAAAAAGAAGTGTCGAAGGTCAGACATCGTCACAGACGAGAATCAAAGCTTCTACCGCTGCACTTAACAGTTTGGACTGTTGACATGCCATGAATTATCTAGCCATTATTATGATTTATGCGCTAAAATGATTGATTAATGTAAAGGAAGGACCCTTAGATAACAAAAAAAAAAGTGGAGAAGTCGATGATCGGAAATGTTTCACTAATATGAGTAACATTAGTTGAATAAATTCACAAAAGGTGTGTTTTATGATGAAGCAAAAAAAGGATGTAAGGGACGACCTTTGAGCTGCAAGGTCAATGGAATTCTGACTCATGGTTATTGCAAGAACAGTCATTCGTTATTATTATGATGAATGAGACTATATACGGAAGTAGGGTTATCTTGCATCATTTATGGTATACTTTCATAGTATGAGAGTAACAGCATTAAAACTCCGTCTAAAATACATGACCTTTGAACCTCGGGACATTACATTCTAATCTTCTTTGAATTCCCCAACAGATTTCAAATTGATGTGAACAAGAAGGTTACATTACAGGATGTTATTATTGGGTAAAAACGAAGTTGTGACCTGTCTCAGTATTAATAAACAAATTGTGTAAACACAAACTATTGACTCTTCTGTCCTTTATGTAAACATTAGAAGAATCAGTTGCATGCCTTATTGCACGTGTGTGTACGTGTCTGTGTGTCTATATGTATGTTTATGTGTGCGCAAATAGTACTAACAATATTGTGCACACCGCCAAATTAACTGGACAGGTCAATCTTCTAGTGGACATTCTACACTATCCATCTTCAAAAGTGCTATTCAAAAAACGTTGTCATGATAGCATAATATTGCAATAATTCTTACCAAACGATCCTCTTCTTTTTTAGTGAAACTTCACGCCATCCTGTTTGACATCTGTCATTAGATAAACTAAAGTGTAGTAATGAATGTGGCGGTAGGAACAAAACCGCCATGCTGTAGCACTTTAATTAAAAGATGCGGTAAGCGACGATTACATTGTGGAACTAGCAGACAGAGCGCAAAATGTACTGGAATTACCATTATTATGCATCTCGATAGTTCTTAAGCCTCTTTAGCGGCATTACTGTGACCTCTTCAAGGAAAGGTCAAAGCTATCAACAAAAGCCATCTATCTCATTTATCTTCCATTTATTTCCCTCATGCCATTGCTGCAATCAGAGAAGGATGACCTCTACTTCTTAAGGATATAGTGATGACAATGCAATGACATATAAGCGAAATAATTCGCTTAGGCTTTTCTTTTTTCCTTCATATTTTCACCTAATATCTATGCAATGTGAAGTGTATAACAACGTCCACGAGTGGACAAATTTCATTAAATTTGTTTCATTATTGAAATAAGATAAAATCATTCTGATTGATCGAATAGGCGCATTTCTTTTAAAAGAACCAAAAGATCAACTGAAAATTTCCTATAATTTGAAAGAGTTTATGATCGACTGTCAAGCATAGACAAGAAAAGTATTTTATGTGTGTTTAAAATTAATATCATTTCCCGCATAAACTTGGAAATAACAACACGATAAATTCAAAAATGCTTTAAAGATATGAATTCTTTATCTCTCTTCAGCTTCTACTTTTTAATTAATAAAATCAGGAATTCCTGTTAAAAAAACTGAATGAGTCATTTATAAAAGGACCTATAAAATAGTATATATTAATTATTATACTATTCATAGAAAAGTAGCAAAGTTTGAGCAAAGTGAAACTTTTAAGCTATACTATACAAATCATTTAACCTTTCAGTCTTTTAACTTTATCATCAGACTTTTTCATAACGAAAATTAATTTGCACTGTTTAACATTCATTTTCATTACAAGTAAAATTGGTGATCTCAAACAAATAGATCGTTTCCAATCGATCAGCTGTCATAAGTTTTATTGCTGAGTTCGGCCTTGATTTTCACTTTCATAATGAAACATCTTCACCAACTAATAACATAAAATGTTTACACAGCCTCATTCTCGGCAGATGGTTTTCCGAAGACCACTAATGACCTCAGTGATAATTTGCCAGCAAAAAGGTGATGATGCGCATTAGCGATAACACCCGACGACCTCAGCGCTGTATGATGTTTTATGTTCAGTGGTTTGACCATTGCTCAGACGACGATCTTATCTCCTTCGTCACTCAATAAAGGTTATGCAATTTGCATATAGACGTTGCACCCCACCTTTCGACCTTTTGCGCATGAGTTGAGTAACAGGTTGCCCTTTCATGACCAAAGAAAAAGAGACAACAGAAATCAATTCGAGAGCATTATCCCTCTTTCTCAACAAATGACATAAAGGATATATAGGCTGTTGCACAGAGGCGGATCCTTTCGAAAGGTCAACTCGGGGCGGGGTCAAGTTCCGACTCGAGCTCCAGTTCTATTATGCTCTTTTCTGTCCTATTCTGTTACTGTTTTCGAATTATAGTGACCGCAGCAGTTGCAGTTGTTGTCCAAATCTCTTCTTGTTCACCGGCGGCAGCTTCAGTCCATCTATCCTTGAATTTTATCAGTCTCTTGAACTTACCTAGGCGCAACTGCTGTGAGTAGCGATCAAGGAATGGACAGTTCAGCCTCTGTTCACTTAAGAAATGCTTTAAGCGCTGTTCACAGTCCACAACTTATACAGAAGTATATCGAATTTCATTCTTTTTTTATCATTTAGAATACAAGGCATAAGTAATTCGTGAAATGAAATTCTAAATAAGAAATGTTATGGAAGCGAATTTTAGTGATGACACTATAATGACAATATAATAATTTCGCTTAGTTATTGCACATTAATTAAGTTTGAAATGATTAGTTTCGTAGCATATCACTTGCTTACTTTTTTGTGGTAATCAAGTTAAATTTCATTTTTTTCGAATAAATTCATATTTTTGCAAGATTTTCAGTAACGAGAAGTCGCCTTTGCCGGTGGATTTAAATACAGCTCTTTCGCTGTTAGCAAGGCCAGCAGCAGCAACTCTCCCAGCAACATTCCCGCACTTCAGTCCATTTTCCTTTCCGGATCCATCTGCCCTATTTGCATTTTCACAACTCCGTTCCAGTTTGCCGAATTATCAAACGGCGACGATAATATCGCCTCTCTTGTCTGCAACTGCTACAACTACAAGTGCCATATCCTCTGCCAGTCTTGGCCCATCTCCTCTCAAACGGCCTAATCGAGAACAGCAATCAGCATCCAGTCCACCATCCTGCTCCTCTTCATCGGTAACCTCATCATGCAGTCCTCAGCAATCACCACATCGAAAACAAGCAGCACCAGTACCTGACGATAAAAAGGTTAGTCTTTGAAAGTTTTGCAACGAGTAAATTTTTTGATGAAGTCGTTTAAAATTCAAGCATTTTACAAACAGAGTTCCCTTCTCTGCTAGTGTTATTGGCCTTTTGCCCAGAAAGATAAGATAATGAGTGATTATTGCAAAGCCAGTATTACTCTTATGAAGCCCATAAGAGGCATACATCCAAGTAAAATAGAGTTTGAATATGATTTATCCGATGATATCAAATTGGCTCTGGTGTTATACTCATTATTGTTGTGCTAAAGTAATGACCCCTTGAGATGTCTGCAACATTACGCAGATGACCTTTGTACGTCCTTTTTATTTAT